CGAAAGTTTGTGAATTGAGATGCTATGTGACATAACATTTCAAAGTGTTTCATAAAAGTTATCATTTATATATGGCTAATTCGACCGACATGTGGGGCATATGCTTTTTTTCACTTTGATTTGCACACACCCACATTTTTTTTTGTACAGGTACCTTCCGGTTTTTGGATCCACAGGAGAATCGACTAATTCAGAATCGAGCTGGGTAGGACCACAAGGGCGGCAAAACTCTCCCTCAAAAGTTTTTAATACAGCTGCATTCCACACACCCACATTGACATGGGTGTGTGTGAATTCAAGTGTGAAAATGTATATAGGGCAGTGCAAGTAGCAATTCAGTTTTATAAATATGATAATGATATCATCGGATAAAGATCATTTATATATTAATATATAAATTGAATTGAGCCATCTAGTTTTGTTATGAAATAATCAGATGACATGACTTGTGGAGTCATCTGTCCTACGGTAAATATACTTTGAGTACATGCGTCAATATATTAAGTGATTGATGACTCTATAAAGAAATCATCCGATGTCTCTGTAGAATTTCTGTTGAGCCATCATAATAACTTAAACTTTTTCCATTGTATTAAATAACAGGGTTCTAAAAGCGCAAGACGTTCGGTGAGTTGGAGTCTAGCGTCTAGAGGGTCAAGGCGGCAATTAGTCGGGGTCTAGCCTTCTAGGCAAGGTCATAAAATACTTTAAAAATATGCGTAATAAACTTGAAAACTTTATTTTATAAAATATACTGATTACTATAGTTAAATACCAAAATTTTAAAAAATATTATACTTATTATAATAATTTAATAAAAGCATTTTTTAATTTTATAATTATTGTACATTTTATGTTTAATAATCAAACTTATTTTTATTATATTTTGAAAAATAAATACAAAATGTAAATTTTTTAACCGCCTAATCAGTCTAGACGTGGCTAAATTTCCAATTCGTCGAGACCGCCTAGGTAGCGCCTAATTATCCCAGCACTTAAATGACCGCCCAAACAAAAATATGGCAGCGACTGACGCCTAGCCCGAGTTTTAATAGTGTTGTAACAAACGAGGGCAGTGGTGGACGTAGGCTCACAAAATTAAAGGGACACAAACATAATTTATACACAATAAAAATATAGAAACAAAAACGATAATCGTTCTCCACATGTTCTCATATATTGTATCCTCTATAACCACATAATTTCTAATATTATTAAATAAATCTTTCTCAAATATCTATTTTTTTTGTTTCATTGAATATTTAATTCCATTTCACCATTGGTGGACTTCTATTTATAATATTTTTCATAAAAATTTAAAATCATATTAGTAGAATAAATCAATGACAAATACAATTTAGTAGCTAATTATAATTATATTTTTAAGAACGCCTACAATGCAATGTGTATCAAAACCAATAACAAGAGTTTAGAAATCTTAACTAATTTAACGTTACATCAAAGTTCTGAAAGCTCTAAAGATCACACTTTTTTAATTCCTAAATATAAATAGAGGGTTACATAAATTTAAAATATAATTTATTAATAGATACAACATATGAGTAGAAATAAAAAAAAAAAAAAAAAAAAAAAAAAAAAAAAAAAAAAAAAAAAAAAAAAAAAAAAAAACCTGCTCAAAGATGAAATTGTAAAAGAATTAATGTGATATTCCCATTCCTAGAACAGTTGCCACTTTTTTATTTAATTACGAATTAATTACATACAAAATTAGAGAAAATAAACATTTTACTAAATAATTATTTAATAATTAACATAACAAACCCTTTTTATAATATAAATATATACACTATTCTTTTTTTTTTAATTTCAACAGGGTTGCGTCATCGCATAGTTCCACTAGAACCTGCTTTGATACCATGTAAGAAACAAGGACAAATTGGGTGCGTCATTGTAAGAAACGAGACGAAAACGGTGCTGTCCCACGCACGTGAAGCGCACCATGACAGAGTGAGCCCAA